ACCTTAAAAATTTTCCTACAAAATTTAGTTAAAAGAAACCCTGGAAATGATGAATCTAGGCTTTACTGGAACATTGTTCTGATTATTTCAATAGTAGTTTGTGTTTTGTGTAAAATTACGTTGTTTGCATTGCTGTTCCCTTCTGGATCTAGTTCTATTTTAAAAAATATATAGTGACTTAACATAGCGTTTGGCACCAAAAAATTAGCGCTGATGCTACCATAACAAATTTGATGCCCCTGATGTCCCCAGTGGACTTTGTAAGGGTTTAGAGGACCGGAACCCCGGTAACCTCTTTTATGTGCTGGTTATTTGTGTTCGTTCCGTCACGGTATTGTGCCTTTTTTGTTTTTTATGCCCCAAAGCAAAGTCTACGGAGGGAAAATTACTGACACAAATCACAATTTTAATCCTTTGGATTCTAGCAATTTTTGGGGTGATTTTTTTGATAAGTTTCAATTTTTTTTCCAATAACCCAAAAAGGGGGAAATTTTAACGAGTTTGGCCAATTCCAAAATTTTTCTCACAGAGAATTTTTTTTATTCTTCAGCATATCTGGAGTTTTTTTTTTGAAAAGATGAAAAAAAGGGGTTTTTGGGGGTTTTGTTTAAATCTTTATTGCCCTTTTTTTTTTTTAAATTTCCTGGGTGCCCCCCCCCTGCTGCCCCCCAACCCCCCCCCCGCCCCCCCCCCCCCCCCCCCCCTCCCCCCCACTGCTGCACCCCCCCACCTTTCCCCCCACTCCACCCCCCCACCCCCCCACCCCCCTGGTTGATCCCCGGCCCCCCCTTTGGCCTTGGTGATCCTGTGTAAGTGTCCCCAATGGCCCCCCCCTGAGCCCCCCCCGGGGCCCTTCCCCCCCCCCCACCCCCAAAACCCGACCCCCAAAAATCACCATTTTCCCCCACCTACCTCCCCCTCCCCCGGGACCCAACCCATTGCGCACCAACCCATTCGCCCAATCCCAAAGCCCCAACTCCCGCTCACCACCCCATTGCCACCCCTCCCCAGGCCCCCTCCCCACCCAAACCCCCATTTCCCCCAAACCCCCTTTCACCCCCCGTGCCCCCCTTGTGCCCAACCCCCCTTCCCCCCCACCCCCTTCGCACCCACCCCTCCCCCAAAACCCCAAATTTGCCCCCCCCTTCTGTCCCCCCCAAAATCAAAAAACCCCCCTTCTCACCACCCTTCCCCGCCCCAACCCACCACCCCCCCACCCCACCACGCCCACCACCTTCCCACCCTTTTTTCCCCCCCACCCCTCCCCTTTTGCCCCCCTCCCATGCCCCCCCCCCCCAATTTTGGGCCCCCTCCTTTTTCCCCCCCCCACCATTGTGCCCCCCCCCACCAAATTTTGCCCCCCATCCCACCCCTGGCCCCCCACATTTCTTTACCCCCCTTCTGCACCCCTACCCTGCACCCCTCCCCGGAAAACATTTCCCCTCCCCCCCCTTCACCCCCAAATCCCCTTTTCCCCCCCCCCCTTCCCCCCCAAATGCCACCCACCAAAAGCCCCCCTAAACCCCAACCCCCCATTGGCACCCCCCTCACCTTCCACCCCTACCATTGCTGCACCAACTCCCATGCTGCACCCCCCCCTGTGCACCCTCACCTTTTTGCCCCCCCTCACTTTGCACCACTCAATTTGCTGCACAAACCCCACCTTTCCCCCCCTCACCCTGCTTTCCCCCCCCCACCATTCGCCCCCTCCAAACCCCCCCCCATTAGGAAAAACCCCCCCCGGGACCCCCCCCATTTGCCCACCACCTTCCCCCCCACATTTCCCCCCCCATTTTCCCCCCCCCTTTTCTGCCCCCCCCCTTTCTTGCAAACCCCTCACATTGCTCACCAACTAACCATTGTGCACCCCACCATTGCTGCACCAAAAAAACCAGGGGGGCCCCCCCACCTTTCTGCCAACCCACCCCCCCCCCACCACTCCCTTAAATGCTGCACCACCCACCCTGTGCCCCCTCACCTTGCTGCACCCCCTCATCATTTCTCACCACCCCAATTCTCCCCCACCAACAACCCCCAAAAACCCTTGCTCACCCTCCCCCTCCCACCCCCTTTTTTCCCCCCCTTCCCCACCCCTTTCCCCCCCACTTCCCCCCCCCCACCCTGCCACCATTTACCATTTTGCACCCTCACCCTGCCCACCCACCATCTGCAAAACCCCCACCCCCCCCACTCAATTTTCTGCACCCCTCCCACTGCTAACCCCTCACCATGCTGCCACCTCACCATGCGCACCACCTCACCACTGCGCACCCCTCACCATGCTGCCCCCCTCACCCCTGCTGCCCCCTCACAGGGCCCCCACCCCCCCCTTGCTCCCACCACCTTTCCCACCTCCCCTGCTGCACCCCTCACCATGTGCACCCCCTCCCCCTGCTGCACCATACCATGCTGACCACCCCCCCTGCCCCCCTTCCCCCCCTCCACCTCACCATTCTGACCACCCCCCATTGTCACCACCCCACCCTTTCCCCCCCCCCAACCCCCCCCGTGCCCCCTCCCCCATGCTCACCCTCACCCTTCACCACCCCAACCCCCCCTCACCCCCCTTTTTTTTTTTTTTTTTAAAATTTTTTTTTTTTTTTTTTTTTTTAAATTTTTTTTTTTTTTTGTTTTTTTTTTTTTTTTTTTTTTTTGTATTTGGGTTTTTTTTGTGTATGGCCCCCCCCCCTTGCCCCCTCCCATGCGCCAAAACCCACCCCCACCCCTCACATTTACCACTCCCCCTCCCCCCCCACCCCCCGGCCCCCACCACATCTGCACCCCTCCCCCCCCCCACCCCTGCCCCCCACCACGTTCCCCCCACCAAACCCCCCTCACATTTGCCTTTCGTTTACACTTTAATTTTGCAACCCCTTGAAAAAAATGGCCCAGTGGAAGGGGGCCCACCCAATTGTGGGGGGTTTTTTCCCTGCTCCCTTTTTCCCCCTGGTCACAATACCATGTTCCCCTAAGCTTTACCATACCTTTTGACATTTTTTCCTGCCCCCAAAAAAACCCCTCTCCCCAATTCACTTCCTGCACTCAAATGGGGGCACCCCCAACATCCCCGGGTTTAAGCCCAACCAACTGTACCCTTTCCGGGCATTTCCCCCCCCCCTGTCATTTTCATACCCCCCCCCTCCCCCCTTCTGGAAACCTTAAACCCTCTGACCCCCCCCTTAACCAACTGCTGCAACCTTTTTTCCCCTTCATGCGGGGGTTTTTTTTTCCCCCAAGTGGGGGGTACACGTTTACACTAAAATTGCAACAATTTAATGCTGTTTTTTTTTTTTAATCATGCTCACTTTTTTGGGGGTTTTTTTGTACCATTTTCTCACCATTTTCAGGGGGGGGGGGCCAATCCTGCCCCCTCCACGTGAACACCTCCCACGTGACATTTTCCCTCTAAACTAAGGTTCCCCTCCACTTTATCCTTAAATTTTTCTGTAATTTCTAAAAAAAATTTCAACCCCGTTTTTTTCTTCAATTAATGTGTCCCTTTTTGGGGGGTCCAATCTCTGGAACATCCTGTCTTTGTCTACCTTTTCACTTCCTCTCAGTATTTTGTATGTCGTTATCATGTCCCTCCAATCTCTCCTGTTCTCCAGTGTCGTCAGGTTGATTTCCCTTAACCTCTCCTCGTAGGACATACCTTTTAGCTCTGGGACTAGTCTTGTTGCAAACCTTTGCACTTTCTCTAGTTTCTTCACGTGCTTGGCTAGGTGTGGGTTCCAAACTGGTGCCGCATACTCCAATATGGGCCTAACATACACGGTGTACAGGGTCCTGAATGATTCCTTATTAAGATGTCGGAATGCTGTTTTGAGGTTTGCTAGGCGCCCATATGCTGCAGCAGTTATTTGGTTGATGTGCGCTTCAGGAGATGTGCCTGGTGTTATACTCACCCCAAGATCTTTTTCCTTGAGTGAGGTTTGTAGTCTCTGGCCCCCTAGTCTGTACTCCGTCTGCGGTCTTCTTTGCCCTTCCCCAATCTTCATGACTTTGCACTTGGTGGGGTTGAACTCCAGCAGCCAATTGCTGGACCAGGTCTGCAGCCTGTCCAGATCCCTTTGTATTTCTGCCTGGTCTTCGATCGAATGAATTCTTCTCATTAACTTCACGTCATCTGCAAACAGGGACCCTTCGGATTCTATTCCTTCCGTCATGTCGTTCACAAATACCAGAAACAGCACTGGTCCTTGGACTGACCCCTGTGGGACCCCGCTGGTCACAGGTGCCCACTCTGACACCTCGCCACGTACCATGACTCGCTGCTGTCTTCCTGACTAGTATTCCCTGATCCATTGCAGTGCCTTCCCTGTTATCCCTGCTTGGTCCTCCAGTTTTTGCACTAATCTCTTGTGTGGAACTGTGTCAAACGCCTTCTTGCAGTCCAAGAAAATGTAATCCACCCACCCCTCTCTCTCTTGTCTTACTGCTGTCACCATGTCATAGAACTCCAGTAGGTTTGTGACACAAGATTTCCCGTCCCTGAAACCATGTTGGCTGCTGTTGATGAGATCATTACTTTCTAGGTGTTCCATCACTCTTCTCCTGATAATCTTCTCCATGACTTTGCATACTATACATGTTAGTGACACTGGTCTGTAGTGAAGTGCTTCATGTCTGTCCCCTTTTTTAAAGACTGGAATTACATTTGCTGTCTTCCATGCCTCAGGCAATCTCCCTGTTTCGATAGATGTATTGAATATTGTTGTTAGGGGTACATATAGCGCCTCTGCTCCCTCTCTCAGGTCCCACGGAGAGATGTTATCCGGCCCCATTGCCTTTGAGGTATCTATCTCACTCAGAAGCCTCTTCACTTTTTCCTTGGTTGTGTGTACTGTGTCCAGCACTTGGTGGTGTGCCCCACCTCTCTGTCTTTCTAGAGCCTCCTCTGTCTCCTCTGTGAACACTTCTTTAAATCTCTTGTTGACTTCCTCACTTACTTCATGATCATTTCTTGTTGTCTCTCCTCCTTCCTTCCTTAGCCTGATTACTTGGTTCTTGACTGTTGTTTTCCTCCTGATGTGGCTGTATAACAGCTTTGGGTCAAATTTGGCTTTCGCTGCTATGTCGTTTTCATATGTCGTTGGGCCTCCCTTCTTATCTGTGCATATTCATTTCTGGCTCTACGACTGCTCTCCTTATTCTCCTGGGTCCTTTGCCTTCTACATTTCTTCCATTCCCTAGCACACTTGGTTTTTGTCTCCTTGCACCTTTGGGTGAACCATGGGCTCATCCTGGCTTTTTCATTAGTCCTATTACCCTTGGGTATAAACCTTTCCTCAGCCTCCTTGCACATTGTTGCTACAAATTCCATCATCTCATTAACTGACTTCCCTGCCAATTCTCTGTCCCACTGAACCCCGTTCAGGAAGTTCCTCATTCCGTGTAGTCCCTTTTCTTGTAGTTTGGCTTCTTTCGTCCTGGCCTTCCTGCTTCCCCCTCCACTTGCATCTCTACTGTGTATTCGAAGCTTAAAACTACATGATCGCTGGCCCCAAGGGGTCTTTCATATGTGATGTCCTCAATATCTGTACTACTCAAGGTGAATACTAGGTCCAGTCTTGCTGGTTCATCCTCTTCTCTCTCTTTTGTAGTGTCCCTTACGTGTTGGTGCATGAAGTTTTCCAGTACCACCTCCATCATCTTAGCCCACCATGTATCTTGGCCCCCATGTGGCTCCAAGTTCTCTCAATCGATCTCCTTGTGGTTAATGTCGCCCATGATCAGGAGCTTTGCCCTGCATGCATGAGCTCTTCTGGTCACTGCAGCCAGTGTGTCAACCATCGCACTATTGCTCTCGTCATTCTCTTGCCTTGGCCTCCTGCTGTTCTGTGGTGGGTTATACATCACTGCAATTACCACCTTGGGACCTCCAGAGTGAAGTGTTCCCGCTATGTAATCGCTTGTTTCTCCGCTGTCTCCTCTCTCAAGCTCATCAAAATTCCATTGGTTTTTGATCAACAGTGCAACTCCTCCCCCCCCCTCTCTGTTACCTCTGTCTTTCCTCGTGATCTGGTATCCTGTTGGAAATATGGCATCTGTTATCATACCTGTTAGCTTGGTTTCTGTGAGAGCTATGATGTCGGGTGATGCCTCTTTGACTCTTTCGTGCCACCCCTCCCACTTATTTGTTATTCCATCAGCATTTGTGTACCATACCTTCAGTTTCCTTTCGAACACTGTGGTTTGGGGGGCCTGTGAGGGTGGGAGACCTGGTAGCATACTGTGGGATTCTATAGCTGGGTGTTGGGTGGAAGCTGTGAGTGTGGATTGTAGTTTGTGTTGGGATGGTGTTCTGAGGATAGTTCTGTGTGTGCTTGCACTTGCTGCTCTGTTCTGCTCTTATTGACCTCTGCTGGTTCCAATCTTGTCTCCTTTCGTAGCTCCTTTCGCTTTCTTGTCTTCTCCCTCAACTGCTGTCATTCTGTTTGTGTTCTGTCTCTGTCTAGGAACACCCTCATGTACTTTTCCGAGTATTTCAACCGCAGTTTCTCTTGGAGGATCCTGTTCCGTACTGTTTCTGCCCTGAGAATCAGCTTGATAAAGTCGTTTTCTCCCCTTGAAGTACCCCCCTATTCTCTGAAAATTTACAATCTCGTCCATGTCTTCTTCACCTATTTCCTTGATGATGTTCTCAATCTCCTTTCTTTCTGCCTGCCGTCTTTCAGTGTGTGTCCTTTCCTCTCTCTCCTGAAACCCGTGGATAAACATTGATTTAGCCCTTTCCTCTTCCCATTGCCTCTCCTCTGTGACTCTGGTTCCTGTCTGTACATGGTCATTTTCCCCCTTATTTTTTCCAGTGGCTCTTGGTAGCATTGTTGTGCCCCTGCATTTGACCTACCCCCCTCTCCGCCTGCACCCAGCTGCTCTCCCCGTTCACTCCTTGGCCCTTCTTGGCAGGTTGATATGGCCTTAGCATAATTCATATCTCCCTCCTTCCTGTTCGGCCTCTCAGCTTCATATGCTGTGTCTTCTCTGGTCAATGCTTATGTAACTTGCTTCAGCTTGTTTACCTCATCTTCTAGGACCCTTATCCTGGTTATTGCAGTTTCGGCTTGTGCCTCCCAAATCTTCTTCTTCTCCAACCTCTCTTCTAATTTCACAGAAAGCTCTGTCTCCATTTTTTCAGAAAGCTCTCCTAATTTTCTCTCCCAATCTTGTTCCATCCTTTTCCACTGCTCCTCCATCCACTCCTCCCTACCAGAACCATTCTATCTGATCCCTGGTTCCTGCGAGTCCCCACCATAATTTTTTTTTTAAGAGAAAAGAGTGAGAGAGAGAGAAAGATAAGGGAAAGGTAGAAGAGAGGGAGAGAGTGAGAAGGGAAAAGGGAGGAGAGAGGGGGAGAGAGAGAGGGGAAGAGACAGGGGAGAAGGGGGGAGAGAGGGGGAGATGGAAGAGAGGGGAGAGAGAGGATAGGGGGAGATAGAGGGGAGAGAGATGGGAAATGGGAGAGGGGAGAGATAGTGAGAGGGGGAGAGATGTTAGAGGGTGAGAGACGTTAGAGGGGGAGGTGTTAGAGGAAGATATGTTTATAGGGGAGAGATGGGAGAATGGAGAGTTGGGAGAGGGAAGAGAGAGAGATAGGCAAAGGGAGAGATAGTGAGAGAGATAGATAGTGAGAGATATAGGTAGAGATAGGTAGAGAGAGGTATAGGTAGAGAGGTATAGGTAGAGAGAGGTATAGGTAGAGAGAGGTATAGATAGAGATAGTGAGAGAGATAGGTAGAGAGGGAGAGAGATAGGTAGAGGTAGAGAGAGAAACAGGTACTGAGAGATAGGTAGAGATGGGTAAAGAGAGAGGTAGAGATAGGTATTGAGAGAGAAAGAGAGAGGGAGGGATATCAGGTCAGTTAACAGGAAGGTATGAAATCCTGTGTATGTGCGTGTGTGTGTGCGCCCCCACTTCTAAGTATTCATACTGATAATAAATACCAGTAATAATACCAGTATTTCTAAAACTACCAACAGTGATTCTAGCACTTATCACATCTACTTATAAAACACAGAAAGTAACTAGGTTGTAAAATTTAGCTTGTCTCAGCTTCTAGGAGTGTCTGATGTCACCCTCACTAGGCTTCCCCTCGCTAGGCTGCCCCTCACTAGGCTTCCCCTCGTTAGGCTGCCCCTCACTAGGCTTCCCCTCGCTAGGCTGCCCCTCACTAGGCTTCCCCTCGCTAGGCTGCCCCTCGCTAGTCAACACTATCTTCACCTTATCTATGCTATTTCTGCTCTAATTCTGGTAATAGCTTGCAGGAGTGAGTGCCCAGTATCTACCAGTGATGCAAGACCAGGACTCAGAACCCCACAACAACCCCAACAGGTGAGTGATACTTGCGCTGGCAGCAGTTCAATGACAAGTTGCCAGATGCTGATGACGTAGTCGTCGTACATACGCCTTCTATCACTACTTTGAAAATTCTTCACCCGTGATGTTTATAACCATATATGCTCATACATCCCGCGTCCCTCAAGTGATTTCACTTATAATAGAATACACTTCACATTCGGTGTTACACTTTATATGTATAATGTGACACAACTGTTGTGACGTCACTGCTTCAGCAGGCCTACTGCCACCTTCCCTTGTTATATATTTTATTTTTCCTTTCTACTTTTGCTTATTAACTTTTTCACTCTCACTGTATGGTGCCCCACATTTCACTTCTTATCCAATCTCTCGAAATTTTTGAACACCTGCTTCCACACTCACTTGAATCTTTGTATATTTGAATCTGTGTAGCAACAGAAGCCTACTAGCCACTAACGGTTTGACACTTTGAAATATTAAAGATTTCAGGCTTCCTCTCGACTTTTTTTAAGTAATAACTTTAGTTATCACTCGTAGTATTGTTCACTGACGTTGTCACTACCACTGATTACTGCTAGCAGTTACTGCACGCCTTAAGAAACACTAAAGTTCTCGGAGCCTTGTGTACCCACGTCTGCTGACTGTGTGTGTGTGTGTGTGTGTGTGTATGTGTGTGCTCACCTAATTGTGTATGTCGTGCCGAATAGGTAAAACTTGCGACTTTGGCTTAAATAGTAACGCTCTTCTTGCCGAATAAGGCAAGCGAAAATTTATGTATGCAATAATTTCGCAAAAATCATTCTGACGCTAACGAAAAAAATATTTCATTGTGTTTATCATTAAATTATTGAAAACTTATTTAAAATATATTTAGCTGGATTAGGCTAAATTAAATTACGCTTGTTGTGGGTTCCATATTGGATGACTCCTTTCTTAGATATGGAAACGCTATTGTCAAGTTTGCCAGGCGCCCATATGCTGCAGCAGTTATTTGACTGACGTGCGCCTCAGGGGACGTGCTCGGTATAGTGCTCAACCTAAGACCATTTTTCTTAAGTGAGGATTGCAGCTTTTAATCATCTAGCGGTCTTGTTTGTCCTTCCCTAAGTTTCATGACCTTGCACTTCGTGTGGTAAACTTTCCTGATCCACGTCCGTTTGTATTATGCACAGTAGTTTCACATCAGCGAACAGGGACACCTCTGAATCTGTTCGTTCCATTGTATCATGTACATATGCAAGAAACAGGACCGGACCTACGACTAACCCTTGTCGAACCTCACTCGCTACATGGGCCCACTCTGACACCTCATCACTTATCAACACTCGTTATTTCCTTCCTGTCAGGTATTTTCAGATCCAATGAAGTGTTTTCCATACTATTCCTGCCTGCTCCTCTAGTTTTTGAACTAGTCTCTTGTGTGTACTGAGTCGAAAGCCTTCTTCGAGTCCAAAGAGAAGTAATCTTAAGTAGATTTGTGACACAGAGTTTCCCATCCTAGAAGCCATCTTGACTGTTATGTATGACGTGCTCCACCACTTTTCTGATAATCTTCTCCATGACTTTACATACTATACATGTCAGTGACACTGGTCTGTAGTTAAATGCAGTATGTCTCTCTCCTTTCTTAAAAACTGGAACTACATTTGTTGTCTTCCACACCTTGAGACAATTGTCTTGTTTCGTTAGATTTATTGAAGTTTGATGCTAGCTGCACATACATTTCCTCTGATCCCTTTCTCAGGACCCATGGAGAGATGTTATTTGGGTTCCACCGCCTTCGAGGTATCTAGTTCACGTAGTAGTTTCTTCACATTCTCCTAGGTTATGTACACTGTGTCCAGCACTTGGTGCACCCTACCGCCTCGGTTTACTGGTACCATTTCTGTTTCCACTGTGAATACTTTTCTAAATCTTGTGCTCAGCTCTTCATATATTTCCTGGTAACTCTTTTTGAGCTCCCCTCCTTCCTTCCTCAGTCTGATTACCTGGTCCTTGACTGTTGATTTCCTCCTGAAGTGTTTAATAACTTTGTGTCAGATTTAGTTATTCTCATGTTGCCACTGAGCCTTTCTCCTTATCCATTTATATTCGTTTATGGTTCTTTTCCTTAACTCTTTGTTTTCTTGAGTTCTTCGCCTTCTGTATTTTTTCCATGCTCTAGCACACTTCGCTGCGGTCTCTTTACACATCCAGGTAAACCATGGCTTCACTCTGGTCTTTCCAGTTTTTCTGTTACCTCTTAGTATGAACTTCTCTGCCTCCCTGCACTTTGTGGTCACTTGCTCCATCATTTAAGTTTCAGTCTTTCCCTCTAGTTCTCTTTCTCACTGCACTTCATGCAGGATTCGCTTCATACCTGTAAAGCCTCTTTTTTGAAATTTGACTTCTCCTGTCTTTCTCATGCTGCTCCATTTTCCATTGTTAACCCTGCAAGGTATTCGAAACTCAGGACCATCTGATCAGTAGCACCAAGCGGCCTTTCGTGCTGGAACATCCTCTCCTTTCTCTCTGGTTCAACCCCTAACATGCTGGAGCATAAAGCTTCTCAATACCGTCTCCAGCACCTTAGCGCTCCACGTTCCTGGTCACACATTTGGCTCTACGTCTTCCCACTCATTCTGCCTGTGACTGAAATCTTTACCCTACCATGTGGGCCTTCCTGGCTACCTCAGCTAGTGTATACACCCATTGCTCTATTGCTATCATCATACTTTTATCTTGGTCTCCTACTGTTCAGTCGTGAGTTGTACATTACTGTTATCATCATCTTTGGATCCCCTGATCTGAAGCATTCCTAATGTGAAGCCCTCTGTTTCGTGTCTCTAATTTTTTCCCATTTCCTCAATTTTTTGATGAGCAGTGCAACACCTCCTTCCCCTCTGTTCCCTTAATCTTTCCTCAGGATCTGATATCCATTTGGAGAGAACACGTCAGTTATCATCCCCGTGAGCTTTGTCTTCATGAGTGCTATGAATATCCGGGGATGCCTTAATGATCCACTCTTGCCACTCCTCAATCTTAATTGATATTTCATCTCATTGGTTTACCATACCTTCAGCATCTTTTCCAGTACTGTATTTTGTCAGGAGGGAGGGGTTAGCATGAACTGGGGCGTAGAAGGTAAGGCAGGATATTACGGAATGCTTACGGAATGCTGGAGGTGGGGGCTGTGGAGTGTGGAATGTTTCTGCATATTGTGTTTGGTTGGTATGGGGTGGTAGGGGTTGAGTGCGCTCAGTGAGCATTTGTGTTTGCTGTTCCCACTGAGGTTGAGTTTCCCTGTCTATTGATGCCTGCCCTGTCTCTCCTTCCACTGGTGTCTTCTTACTCCCTTAGTACAGTAAACCCTTATGTTACACGGATTTATTTGGCGCGTTTTGGTTATACAACACTTCGTAAAATTAACACGGTTCAGTTTGCGGGAGGGGAAAAAAATTGGATGGACTCTGACTCCAACCTTGAAGTACCAAGCTTCTGGAATAAATTTAACATTGCAAATGCCATCAGCTGTGCTAGAAGTGCATAAAATGAAGTGCCAGAATCAACATTAAATGTAGACTGGGGAAGGTATCGCCTTCTGTAGTCATTCTTTCACTGGTTTTCCCTTGCATGAGAGTCAGGTTCAGGAAATTGTTCAGCTAGCAAGGAGATTACCAGGTGATGGTTTTGAAGGTATGAAGGAAGATGTGAATAAATTCTTAGAAGATAATGATGAAGGAGTCCATAGGAAATGTTGCCAGAGCTCAATACACAGATACAAGAAAACTAAATAACAGAAGAACCTGAAGAAAAACAGTTAACATTGCAGCAGTTACGTGAGCAGTTCCATGTTGCTGCTAAACCAGCAGACTTTTTCACTGAATAGGATCCTGATAAATCTAGAAGCAGTGCTTTGAAATGGGATCTAGAGCAGCTGGTGATGCCTTACAGTCAGCTGTATAATGTACTGCAGGGTAAAAGAAGCCAGAGATCCCTTACAGAATTTATGCACACTCCAATACAACCATCGGCTTTAGTACCAGAACCTCAACCATCCACTTCTGCCGACAATCAACAACCATCCACCTCAGCCCAGCAGGGCCACACCATGCATCTCCACTCTCTTCACAATCACTGACATACACCAGCAACCACAATCTAAAGTTAATAATAACATTTCTGCTGTATTTGTAGTCTTAAGCAACAAAAAAACATTATAATTTTTATTTTTGTAAGATTTAGATGTCTAAACAAAAAACTTGTTTGGTTTTTTGGGTGGTCTTAGGAACATAACCCTAGTTTTCCTAGAAGTTCTTCAGTTTATATAAAACGGATTTTATCTAACACGACATTTTCTGGAATGTAACGACAGTGTACATTCGACAGTCCCCATTCTTTTTGTGCTCTGTCTCAGTCAAGGTACACTCTCAGATATTCTCAGAAATCCTTTAACATTAGTTTCTATTGTAAGATACTGTCTTGAATGTCATTTTGACTTGGCGATTTTTTTCCCTCGAATATATCTAAGTCTGTGAAAATTTGTTACCAGGAACATGTCTTTCTCTCCTGTTATTGCAATGATGCTGTCAATCTCTTTTCCTCACAATGTCTTCTTTCATCGTAGATGAAAGCCCATGAATAATTCTTGACCTCTCCTTTTCTTATTCCAGATTTTTCCCCTCTTTCAGTCCCTTGGCTATCCACTGACGTTTCTTTTTACAAGACCCTTCTCCTTTCAGCCCTTTTTTTAAGACCCTACTTCAGCACATCTATTTCTTCCTCAGCGCTTGTTTCTCGTAGTCAGTTAAGGTGCGTGATTTCAAGTTTATCATTAACCTACAAACAAAAATGATCTCACCCACTTTTATTCCAGTCATGATACTAAGACCAAAAGGGCATCGGATTTTTCCCAAGAGCAAAACATCGTGAAAACATCATGCAAACATCGTGCAAACCATGCAAACCATCACTGATGTTTGCAAACCATGCAAACCATCACTGATCTACATTTTCCTTCGTTTTTCATCAAAGACTGCAAGAAAAGAGCGCTTCAGATCATTGATTCTCCACGCACCAACATTGTTATAATCCTTCCCAACAGCCAGGTTGCACTGAACGTTTCTAAGTACTCGCACAAACTAACATTAGAGTCACCATTGCATCCATAAAGGATCTAACCAGGACAAAATCGAGCCACTGTGAACCAGTCAATGCATGAGTTTACACTATACCTTGTGGAGGCTGCGGCAGAATATATGTAGGTGAAACAGCAAGGAACCTCGAAACAAGTCTCAATGAACACATTAACGCCTGCATACAACACCAAAATTCCACCAGTCACCTCAAGAAATTCAACGACACCCGACTAGTGATCAGAGAACCTAATTTCCGCAGACGTAAATGCCTTGAATCATCATTAATCGCTGTTTCTAACAAAATCAAGCAAAATAAAGGCAGCTTTATCATCTCTGAAGTATTAGCAAAAATCCTCCTCAAAAAAATAAACCCTGCCATCACATAGTCTCTGTTGCTAATACTACACAAGAACATAACAGAGGAGGAACACTGAAACAGACTTTCTCAAATCCAACCACTAATAGAAATATTTGTCTAACCTATATTTATGCTACGCAAGTAATAACTTCTATAATCTTTCACTCATGTGTAAATTGATTGTTCAACCATATTGTATTACTACTACTACTACAATAATACTACTACTACTACAATATTACTACTACTACCACTAGTATACACCTCACTCAAAGCTTATATTTACCGTCTATATCCATGTATTGTTTGTAATGGCTTGATAAAGCTCCTGGAGAGCGAAACGTTGCCACAATAAAATGTCACATTAGTTGCACTTGTGTCCTTTTACCTAACATACTCTTAGATTTGCCAGACAAACATTGGCAGCAGATGTTATTTGCCTTATGTGAGTCTCTGCCGATACACTGGTCATTATTTTCACCTCTGTTTCTTTCTCTATGAGTGAAGTTTACAGCCTCCGTCCCACTAGTTTCTGCTTCGCTTTCGGCCTTCTTGCTACTTCCACAATGTTCATGGCTTTATATATACTAAGGATATATTCAAGCAACCACTCACCTGATATCACTTGCAATTTCTCCAGATCCTCTTAAGCCTTTCCCCGTCCTTACCTACATTTTACACTAGGAAACAGGGATATATGTAATATCGATCCTTGTAGAACTCCAAAAATTACTCTTCCCCATGTTGATGTCTCTTTCCAGTAAGTTACTCCATGTTTCCCTTCCTCCAGTATACTCTGTGATCCACTGGAATATGTTCCCCGCTCTCATATTCCTGCCTCAATCTCCTGTTATTTGGTGGCGGGTTGTATATCACTGTAACTACAATTCTGAGTCCCCTCAGTCTGAGCACTCTGTGAAATTGCTTCCTCTCTCCAAACTTTTCTTATTACTGAATTCTGCTGGAAATACGGCATCTTATATAATTTAAGTCAGTTTCTATATTGGGTGGCATTCTTGAGAAATAAATCAGCTTTAATATTTTCAGTACGATGAGATGAGCTCTGCTAGTGAATGGAAATCATTATCTGTATTTATTTAATAAAACTGACAAATTGTGAATCATGCAGACCATCAGTAACGTAAATCTTTCTGTGTGGAAAGCACTCTAGAGCTAGAAAGTTAAAGCTGATCAGAAGAGCCACTCTCCAGTTACCGAAGATATTCCAGCTATTCCAAGCTTAAAAAAATATATTCCTTTCACAAATTTACCAGAACACAAACCAAAGCCAATGGTTACTAACCTGGCTATTAGGTACATCAGCCATCACTTACTGAAGCCATTCAAAGAAAACTGACTTAAATATATGCTCAGTGGCCACTTTATTAGGTACACATGTACACCTGCTCGTCAAGGCAAATGTCTAATCAGCCAATCACGTGGCAGTACCTCAGTGCTATAAAGGTTGCAGATTGGGTCAAGAGGTTCAGTTGTTGTTCAAAACAAACATCAGAATGAGGAAGAAATGCAATCTAATTGATTTGAAATGTGGTTTGATTATCTTAGAAACATCTGATCTGGGAGTTTCATAACAATATCTAGAGTTTTCAGAGAATGTTGGGAAAAAAACACACTAAAAACCGAGGAACTGGTAAATGTTGATAAAGATAGGGAAGCTGTGATTTCATGCATTGGGCTGCGAGGTATAACATCTTGTAGGAAGAGCCAAATGTGAGAGTGAGAAAGGTGCGTAAGGATGTGGGTAGAATTAAAGTGGATACAGCAGCTGGGATTGACGAGACCAAGACAGAAATGTTGAAAGCTAGTGGCGATATAGTTTTGGAATGGTTGAAGCTTTTTATTAATGTATGAATAAGGGGAAGGTATGAAGGGATTGGCAGAAAGCACGAATAGTTCCTTTGTAAAAAACAAAAGGGACAATTATAGGGGAAAAATTATACGGGGAAAAAGCCTGTTGCATCAAGCCTTTACGTCTCACCTTTGTTAACAAGACTATACTATACCACCTCTCCAGGAGCAGCTTCAAAAAGTTTGAAAATGGTTCCTCTGCAAACCTGCCTCCTTAAGCCCTGGCACTTTTTCTTTGGCTGTGGACACTCCGCTCCATCGCTATTCTTGGTCTGTCCGGCATTTACTGCACACCCGCCCTTTAGGGACTTACCTGAACTCTGTTGTTGTTTGTTGTTCAGTATACGTGGTAAGATGAATGGCAGAGTTATAATTGAAAGAATCAGAGAGTAAGACAGAGATCAGATTCACAGGAGAACAAGGAAAGAAGACTTTAGGAAGGAAAGGGGATGTGTAGACCAAGATTACAGAGAAGCGTGTAAGTGAACAGTATGAAGCTAAGGATTAAAACGTTTACGTTGAATTTATGGATTTGAAAAAGGCATATGATAGGGCGGATAGGCGAGAAATGTGGCAGATGATGCAAGTGTATAGAATTTGTCGTAGGTTACTGAAAGCAGTTAAGAGTTTTAACTAGGAAAGGATGATTATTTCCCAGTAAAAGTAGGCCGTAGACAGGGGTGCATGATGTCACAATGGCTACTCAATATATTTATAGATGAGGTTGTAAGAAAAGTGAATGTTCGGGTACTGTCAAAAGGTGTGTGGTATTAAAAGATAAATAACCTAAAAAAAACTGTGAGCTGGCACATTGGATTTTGCTGATAACACTGTTCTTTCGGGAAATTCTGAACAGAAGTTGCAGAGGTTGGTGGACGAGTTTGGGAGTGTATGTACAAGGAGGAAATTAAAAGTCAAAGTGTAATGTTATAAGATAACAAAAAAACAATAGGTAATGAAAGATTGGATATCAGATTGGAGTGAGGGAGTATGGAGGAAGTGAATGTATTCAGATATTTGGGAGTGGACTTGTCAGCAGATGGGTCTATGAAGGATGAGGTGAACCATAAAATTGATGAGGGACAAATGGTGAGGAGTCTGTGGAGGCAAAGAAAGTTATCCATGAAAGTAAAGAGGGAAATGTATGAGAGTATAGTGGTAGCAACGCTCTTATGTGGGTGTGAAGCATGGTTGGTGAATGTTGCAACAAGGAGAATGACTTGGAGGGCGTGTAAATCTGTTGTGGAAGGAAAGCGGGGCTGGGGCAGGCCTAGGAATGGTTTGAGGGAGTGGGTAAAGGAGGTTTTGTACATGAGAGGCTTAGACTTCCAGCAAACATGTGTGAGTGTGTTAGAAAGGAGTGGAGACAAATTGCTTTTATGACCTGATGTGCTGTTGGAGTGTGAACAATGAAACATTTATGAAGGGACTTAGGGAAACCAGTTAGTCGGACTTGAGTCCTGCAGGTGAGATGTACACTGCCTGCACTCTGAAGGAGGGGTGGAGATATGCTGCAGTTTTTGTTCTGTAGTGTAGACATGCCTCTCGCAAGATGGAGTGATGAAGTGAGTGATGGTAAAAGTGTTTTTTCTTTTAAGGGTAACTCTGCCTCGGTGGAAAACTGCCGATGTGTTAATATAAATACAAATCCTTAAAATTCAGTATCACAAAATTAGAAATTTTTACTTTATATCTTAGAGTAAGTGTTCTGACAAAAAATTTTTTTACGAAAGGTTACATTATTAGTACTTTCTGTAAGCTTATGATAGTTACCAATATCCTCAGATACCAGACATCAGTCACCGTATAGTTTTTAGACACATCAAGACTTTGTCCCTTTTCTTTTTAGTGACACAACGTTAGAACAGTTAAAAACAACATATTTTTCCACTAGTCAGTTATCAGGAATATTTACTGAGTACTTACCAAGGTTCATCCATGGCATGGTGAAGTCAACCACTTGTTCACGTTCGTACGTAATTGTCAGGTCACCGATGGCCAAGTCAGCTTTCTGTCGCAAAAAAAAATAAATGATGAAAGCACCATTGTATACCTGATGTTTAACAAAGTATGACTGTTGACAGTTGTACTTGAATCAGTCGTGTTTGTGAACTAGACGTGTTTTGTACACATTACAAGTAATGATTTTTTTCTCTCACTAACTTTGCAACATCTGTCACTGAAGCGATCCCTTTCTGATATAAATTATTGTATAACAATAATGTATATATTACAGAATCTATGGTATATACAAAATATGTATTTTCAAATAATATATCCTAATTAAATTATCTAAAAAAATTCTTTATGATTAAATATGCTCTTCTATAGTCAAATATATATACTATAATCAAATATATATAGTATAATCAAATATATGCATATGGATAGAATAAGCGCTTCTACCCTGTAATAAATTGTTAAATATTGTGAAAATCACATGTTACATAAGTTATCCTTTGCACTGTGTGATATCTGAATATAAATCAATTGGAGATGGTGGTGGGAAAGATTTGAAATCTGTTTAAGATATTTAAGTCACCATCAAGAGGATTATGGACCTTGATATAACGGTGCACAAAGTATAAAAACGTATTGAAAATAAGCTGGAACACGAGTAAAACGTGAAAAATGTTAAATAATGGAAATATTCTGCTTTTATTTCGGAAAATATGGAAAGAATTCTTGCAAAATCAGTTCTGAAATACATTTAATTACAGTTCTAAATTGCAAGTTAGTTACCCACAAATTAAATTAATTTCAATTTTGTGAACCAAGTTACTGTTGGTAGCCATTTCAGGTTTAAGAATTCTGTTGCATCTCCTCTGTGTTCTAGTGTGTCGCTTCACTTGTTGTAAATATTCTAAAAGATGCAAAACAGTCAGTTGAATGATAGCTCCAGGCCTTTCGTGTTGCTATCAACACATCAGGAGCTTCCAATGTTACAGAAAAGAGGATGCAGTACAAGCAGACAAGTTCAGAGAAACATTTTTGTAATCCCGGTGATTGTTTTGCATTCTGTATCATCTGTTCGCGAATTTTTGCAGACATAATTATGTGTAAGGCACAAGATGTGACTCAGTCTCCCAGGAGAACATCACTTTCCTCGTCTATCAAAAATTCATTCCGAGTTTCACTGTCATACATTAAACATAACATCACGGAACCTTCATGTTAAACACCTTAAAACTGGTTTCATTTACAATGATTTTGAAAATAACTTGTAGTTATTGTAGTTTATTTTTTGGTGTGTCTAATAATTTTCAATGTTAAGTCTGGTCTTGGATAATAACTGTGTGATTCACATAAGACATTTAAACACCTTACTTGATCTGCCTATTTATTTTTATTTGTCCTTGTGTTTTTCTGGCGTTTTATCGTATTTTCAATGACTTGATACGTTTATACAATTTTAAATCACATTCGAGAAATGAATGAACATGTCGAGTCATTTCTAACCAAAACATTATAATGTCCTCAGAAGATTTCCACTCTTTAATAAATCGTATAAATATTAACTTTTCGCTGGGACTTACACGCGGGATTTGCTCGGGGATTTAATGGCATAAATATTGAAGGTGCAGTTCCACTATAGCTTATGACGACGTCCCGTCCATTCTGGAGCAGGTTATAACTTGATAATTATCCAGGAAGAACCGAAATATTGTCATAAGGTTCCACTTCTGTGTGAGCTATTTGAGGAACCTGACTATCATGTGACACGAACTCTGCTCACTGTCGCTCACACTTGCTGGAAGGAACCCTGAACTGTCGCTAACAACTGCTGGAAGGAATCTTGACCTGTCGCACACACCAACTGGAAGAAACCCTGAACTGTCGCTCACACTTGCTGGAAGGAACCCTGAACTTTCGCTCACACTTGCTGGAAGGAACCCTCAACTGTCGCTCACACTTGCTGAAAGGAACCCTGAACTGTCGCTCACACTTGCTGGAAGGAACCCTGAACTGTCGCTCACACTTGCTGGAAGGAACCCTCAACTGTCGCTCACACTTGCTGAAAGGAACCCTGAACTGTCGCTCACACTTGCTGGAAGGAACCCTGAACTGTCGCTCACACTTGCTGGAAGGAACCCTGAACTGTCGCTAACACTTGCTGGAAGGAACCCTGAACTGTCGCTAACACTTGCTGGAAGGAACCCTGAACTGTCGCTAACACTTGCTGGAAGGAACCCTGAACTGTCGCTAACACTTGCTGGAAGGAACCCTGAACTGCCGCTCACAAGTGCTGGAAGGAACCTTGACCTGTCGCACACACCAACTGGAAGAAACCCTGAACTGTCGCTCACACTTGCTGGAAGAAACCCTGAACTGTCGCTCACACTTGCTGGAAGGAACCCTCAACTGTCGCTCACACTTGCTGAAAGGAACCCTGAACTGTCGCTCACACTTGCTGGAAGGAACCCTGAACTGTCGCTCACACTTGCTGAAAGGAACCCTGAACTGTCGCTCACACTTGCTGGAAGGAACCCTGAACTGTCGCTCACACTTGCTGGAAGGAACCCTGAACTGTCGCTCACACTTGCTGGAAGGAACCTTGAACTTTGGCTCACACTTGCTGGAAGAAACCCTCAACTACCGCATCCACCAGCTGGAAGGAACCCTGACCTGTCGCACACACCTGCTGGAAGGAACCCTGACCTCTCGCACAAACCTGCTGGAAGGAACCCTGACCTGTGGCACACACCTGCTGGAAGGAACCCTGACCTCTCGCACACACCTGCTGGAAGGAACCTTGACCTGTTGCACACACCTGCTGGAAGGAACCCTGACCTGTCGCACACACCTGTTGGAAGGAAACCTGAACTGTGGCACACAGCTGCTGGAAGGAAGCCTGACCTGTTACACACACCTGCTGGAAGGAACCCTGACCTGTCGCACACACTTGCAGGAAGGAACACTAACCTGTGGCACACAGCTGCTGGAAGGAAGCCTGACCTGTGGCACACACCTAATGGAAGGAACCCTGATCAGTGGCACAAACCTGCGGGAAGGAACATTGACCTGTGGCACACACCTGCTGGAAGGAACCCTGACCTGTGCCACACACCTGCTGGAAGGAACCCTGATCTGTGGCTCATACCTGCTGGAAGGAGCCCTGACCTGTGGCACACACCTGCTGGAAGGAACCCTGACTTGTGGCACACACCTGCTTGAAGGAACCCTGACCTGAGGCACACACCTGCTGGAAGGAAGTCTGACCTGTGGCACACACGTGCTGGAAGAACCCTGACCTGTGGCACACACCTGCTGGAAGGAACTCTGACCTGTCGCATACACCTGCTGGAAGGAACCCTGACCTGTTGCACACACCTGCTGGAAGGAACCCTGAACTGTAGCACACACCTGCTGGAAGGAAGCCTGACCTGTCGCACACACCTTTTTGGAAGGAACCCTGTCCTGTGGCACACACCTGCTGGAAGGACCCCTGACCTGTCGCATACACCTGCTGGAAGGAACCCTGACCTGTCGCACACACATGCTGGTAGGAACCCTGACATGTGGCACACACCTGCTGGAAGGAACCCTGACCTGTGGCATACACCTGCTGGAAGTAACCCTGACCTGTCGCGCACACCTGCTGGAAGGAACCCTGACCTGTCGCGCACACCTGCTGGAAGGAACCCTGACCTTTGGCACACACCTGTTGGAAGGAACCCTGACCTGTCGCACACACGTGCTGGAAATAACCCTGACCTGTCGCACACACCTGGTGGAAGGAACCCTGACCTGTGGCACACAATTGCTGGAAGGAACCCTGACCTGTCGCACACACCTGCTGGAAGGAACCCTGACCTGTCGCACACACCTACCTACTGGAAGGAATCCTGACCTGTCGCACACATGAGCTGGAAGGAACCCGGACCTGTCGCACACACCTGCTGGAACGAACCCTGTCCTGTGGCACACACCTGCTGGAAGGAACCCTTACCTGTGGCACACACCTGCTGAAAGGAACCGTGACCTGTGGCACACACCTGCTGGAAGGAACCCTGACCTGCGGCACACACCTGCTGGAAGGAACAAAGACCTGTGGCACACACCTGCTGTAAGGGAGCCTGATCTGTGGCACACACCTGCTGGAAGGAAGCCTGACTTGTGGCACACACCTGCTGGAAGGAACCCTGACCTGTGGCTCATACCTGCTGGAAGGAGCCCTGACCTGCGGCACACACCTGCTGGAAGGAACCCTGACTTGCGCACACACCTGCTGGAAGGAACCCTGACCTGTGGCACACATCTGCTGGATGGAACCCTGACCTGTGGCACACACCTGTTGGAAGGAAGCCTGACCGTTGGCACACACGTTCTGGGTGGAACCCTGACCTGTAGCACACAACTGGAAAAAACCCTGACCTGTCGCAAACACCTGCTGGAATGAACCCTGACCTGTTGCACACACCTGCTGGAAGGAACCCTGACCTGTGGCACACACCTGCTGGAAGGAACAATGACCTTTTACACAGACCTTTCTGGAAGGAACCCTATCCTGTCGCACACACCTGCTGGAAGGAACCCTGACCTGTCGCACACACCTGCTGGAAGGAAGCCTGACCTGTCGCACACACGTGCTGGAAGGAACCCTGACCTGTGGCACACACCTGCTGGAAGGAACCCTCACCTGTGGCACACACCTGCTCGAAGTAACCCTGACCTGTCGCACACACCTGCTGGAAGGAACCCTGACCTTTGGCACATTCCTGCTTGAAGGAACCCTGACCTGTGGCACATACTTGCTGGAAGGAACCCTGACCTGTGGCACACACCTGGTGGAAGGAACCCTGACCTGTGGCACACACCTGCTGAAAGGAACCCTTACCTGTCGCACACACCTGCTGGAAGGAACACTGACTAGTTGCACACACATGCTGGAAGGAATCCTGACCTGTGGCACACACTTGCTGTAAAGAACCCTGATCTGTCGCACATACCTGCTGGAATGAACTCTGACCTGTCGCATACACCTGCTGGAAGGAAATCTGACCTGTCGCA